TTTCACACACGCATTTATTGTCCACAATTTTTCGCTTTATGCCTCCCACCACTCGCATCGACGCCCTATTTTGCGCTCGTTGGTATATAAGCGCATACACACACATATACAGAAAACAGAAATAAATACAAGCATGTATCTCTTACCCCTCTTCCGTCTCTAACGGCATAGTTGTGTGCACACGCTACTCCGATTCGCATTAATTCGGCAATTTTTCCTCTGATCCATGCCAATCGATTATTTCTGGGTAATAACATCGACGCTTGGGACGCGCCAACTAATGGCATGTCGGTTCGCTAAGCGTATTTATTAGTCTGTGCCCCATGTATATATGCCTATAGCACATGTGCAYGTTGTTGTTGTTGCAACATTTGCATACTATGTGTGTTAAATGCATAACGTCGCATTGGTTGGTAGTTATCAAGCAAAAACAAAAATAACACATGTGTGACAAACAAGTTTTTCGCTGCGAAAAAAAGCGCAATTGTAACCTCTTCACTGCAAATCATATGTCATAATCTGTAAATGTGAGTAACCCGGCGCATTTACAGTTCGCTGCTRTGACTTCTAAGCTTACCTGATGTACCCACCTAAGCCGCTGTGATTTTAGATGCGTTGCACAGATTTGCCGTGTCATCTACCTGTCTATCATTTGTTGGTCATTGCGTGGGCATATTGTTATTGTGTTTTGTCATGAAATAGTTGTAATGATATCAGAATTCAAATATTCGCATTGTAATAATAGATTAAGTCAACATGCGAAAAAATATATTTAAATTCAGTCAGTTGATTTCGAAATTAATAAAAATATTGGAAAAATTGAAAAAATTGAGAAAACCATGTTAAGACACGAGAATGTAAAGTAATATAACATAACCTGGTATAGCATACCATAACGTAACAGCGCACAACAACATAATATTACATAGAAAATGGCAACATATCTTAACGTGACATAACGTATGATAATATATCATAGAAAACATAGAATAATACAAAATTACAATACAAAGCGTAATATAACAGAGAAAAAGATAACTTAGCACAGCAAAACAAAGTCCAGCATTACATAGAATAACATAGCAAAACATAGAGTAGCATAATATAACATAGAAACAAATGCATAGCACAGCATTCCAAAAT